GTATACTCCCATGCACCATTCCATACCTGTTCAGCTTACATATCTATCTGTATATCTACTCATAAATTGTTGTTATTACTCTTACTGCAGGATTGTGTACATAATACTATTTCCTGTTTTGCCTTTTACTCCTGAATACCTCCTAGTGTCTTCCTTTGCATTGGTCATATTGTGCTGACCTCCACCTTACTGGGTATTGTCTTTCCCTTCACCCAGGTTAATATATGTCTAGTCTCTAGTAAGTGATTTTCCCTTCCTCCCCCTCCCATCTCTGGTTACCATCAAAGGATATCTCTGTGTGCTGCAAACCTTTTCTTGACTTTTTATGATAGTGGTCTCATATGATATTTGTCCTTTTGTCATTGACTTATTTTACTCAGTATAACATCCTCCAGGTTCACTCATGTTGTGAGATGTTATTCATCATTACTCTTTAACGTTGTATAGTATTCGGTTGTGTGTATGTATTAGTTTGCTTACCCATTGATCCATTGATGGGCAGTGAAGTTGTTTCCATCTCTTGTTGCTATTGTGAATAATGCTGTGATGAACATGGATGTACATATATTTGTATCACAGCTCTTATTTCTGTAGGGTATGTACCTATTAGCTAAATTGCTGGATCATATATTCTCTCTACTTCTAACTTTTTAAGGAAGTGCCATATGATTTTCCACAGTGGTTGTACCATTTTACTATCCCACAGCAGTGTTCCAATTGCTGCACACCCTCATCAGCATTTGTTTTCTGTTTGTTTGTTTATTTGTTTTGTTTTTTATCACTGCTGCTCTTGCCAGGGTGAGATGATATCTCATTGTTGTTTTGGTTTGGATCTCTCTAATGGCTAGTAATCATAAGCATCTCTTCAAATACTTGTTGACTGCCTGAAGTTTTTGTTCATGTCCTTTTTCCATTTTTCAGTTGAATAGTTTGTCTTTTTTTTTTGTTGAAGTGTTAAAGTTCCCTATAAATTTTAGAGATTAATCCCTTTTCTACTATGTTGTAGCCAAAAATTTTTTCCTAGGTTCTTTTTTTACTCTTTTGATGAAGTCTTTTCATGTGCCTAAGTGTTAATTTTTTAGGAGGTCCCAGTCATCTAGTTTATCTTCTGCTGTTTGTGAATTTTTGTTTACGCTTGATAGACTATTTATGCCATAAATTAGGGCCTTTAAGATTGCCTCTATTTTTTCTTCCACGATCTTTATAGTTTTAGGTTTTACATTTAAGTCTTTCGTCCATCTTGAGTTAAATTTTGTACATGATGTGAGGTATGGACCCTATTTCATTTTTCTGCAAATAGATAACCAGTTTTGCTGGTACCATTTGTCAAAGAAACTTTAACAAAAAAGAAAGCATCTTTTCCCCATTTAATAGCTTTCTGCCCTTGTTGAAGATTAGCTGGGTTCTCAATTCTATTCCACCAGTCTATGTGTCTGTCGCACCAATGCCAGGCTATTTTACCTACAATGGTTGTCCAGTAGGTTTTGAGCTCGGAAAGTGTTAGGCTTCCTGCTTTGGTCTTTGTTAGTAGTGCTTTGCTTATCTGGATTTTCTTTCCTTTCAGTATAAAGAGGATTAATTTTTCCATCTCTTTAAAGAATGTTGATGAAACTTGCATCAGGATTGCATTATGTCTATAGATCTCTTTGGGTAGTATTGACATATTCATCATGTTAAGTCTTCCTATCCATGAGCATGGTAAGTTCTTCCATTTATGTAGGTCCCTTTTGATTTCTTGTAATAGTGTTTTACAGGATTTTTTTTTTTTGTGTGTGTGTGTGTGTACGTCTTTTGTATCTCTGGTTAGGTTTATTCCTTGGTATTTATCTTTTTGGTGGCTATTGTAAATGGCATTATTTCCTTGATTTCCTTTTCAGTGTTTTCTTTGTTGTGTAGAAGAATCCAAATGATTTCTGTATGTTGACTTTGTACTCTGCCACTTTGCTGAATCCTTCTATTAGTTCCAATAGCTTTTTTGCTGTGTCTTTGGAATATTTTATATATAGGCTTATATCATCTGCAAATAGGGATCATTTTCCTTTTTCCTTACCAATTTGGATTCCTTTTATTTCCATTTCTTGCCTTATTGCTTTGGCCAGGACTTCTGATTTGAGATTAAACAGGAGAGGTTATAAAGGGCATCCTTGTCTGGTCCCATTTGCAAAGGGAATGCTTTCAGCTTTTCCCTTCTGAGAGTAATATTGGCCATTGGTTTTGTATTAATGCCTTTGATTATATTGAGGGATTTCCCTTCTACTCCTATTTTGCTGAAGGTTTTTATCAGGACTGGGGGGTGTTGGATTTTATCAAATGCTTTTGCTACATTGATTAGTATGATCATGTAGTTCTTTTCCTTTGTTTTATTTATGGGATGGATTTCACTGATTGTTTTTCTCATGTTGAACCATCCTTGCATACCCAGTATGACTGCCACTTGATCATGATGCATTATTTTTTCGATATGATGTTGGATTCTTTTGGCTAGGATTTTGTTGAGAATCCGTATGCCTGTGTTTATGAGAGATACGATACAGGTCTATAATTTTCTTTTAGTGTTGTCTTTGCCCACCTTTAGCATCAGTTTTATAGGCTTATTTCAGAAGATGAATTTGGGAGTATTCCATCCTTTTCTCTCTTTTGGAATAGTTTGAGTAGAACTGGTATCATCTCTTCTCTGGATGTTTGGTAGAATTCTCCAGTGAAGCTGTCTGGGCCAGGACTTTTTTTGTTGAGAGTTTTTCTTTCTTTTCTTTCTTTTTTTATAACCTCTTCAGTCTTTTGTCTTGGACCTGTTCTAAAATTTCTAGTCTGTTACTTTAGGTACGTAGTGTATTTCTAGGGATCTCTGGTGTCTGTCTCACCAATGCCAGGCTATTTTACCTACAATGGTTGTCCAGTAAGTTTTGACCTCGGAAAGTGTTAAGCTGCAATGAAAGAACTGGCGAAGAACAAGGCTCCAGGAATTGATGGCATACCGATTGAGATATTTCAACAAACAGATGCCCCGTTGGAGGCACTCACTCAGTTATGCCAAGAGATTGGAAGACAGCTACCTGGCCAACTGACTGGAAGATTTGTGCCCATTCCAAAGAAAGGTGAT